GGGGGGAGGACGGGTGAAGTGGCCTGCTGTTGTGCACTGTCTCTCTGTCAGATGGACGCAGCGTGGAGGTGCAGAGAAGACGGCGGCTTCGGCTGTTATGAAAGATAACCCGAGGATCTGGGGTGTCTGCTGGCTCTGTGTGGCCCACTTCTCTGTTTTGCTGCTCCACCGGCAGAGCCACTGTGATAATAGATGCTTCAAGAAGCTGCACAATAATGATTATTTCCCACCTTTGGACTTTGCTGCCAGAGCTTTCTCTTTTTCTTCTTTGTCCAAGAAACTGTGCTGACACAGAAATATTGCTATGCATTGCAGTAATTAGCCAAATTAATGACCTCATTAGCATAATTGGTTATGTTTAATATATCATGGTGATTACAGTAGGGCATTAGGCAGCTTATTTGCCTCTTGTTTGTGCTCGGCTTAATTGACGCACCCAAACATGCTGCTTATTTGTGAGTGTTTGTGGTGTTTTAAGAGCAGCACAAAAGCCGTAATGGAATGAGATGCTTCTCGAGACGCACTTTGATCTGTTTTGTTTTATGGATCGTAAAGGTGAACTGTAAAAACGAAAGAGAAAGTAGGAAAATATTGATTCATTATGTACTTGACGTAATTAGTTTGGTTACTGCCGTAAACTCTGTGCAGCATCGACAGCTCGTTTGTGGTGCAGTGCAATTAAAATGAAATATTCATGCACAAAAGGTGATCAGGTAACACCCCCCTCCCCTCCCTCGCCCTGCAACAAACTTCATATTCCTCATCTCTCCATGAGCTGGATTCATGTGGACAGTAATGAGCTCACCACCTTTCTCGGAGCAGTAAACGCCCTCCCTCCTCAGCAGCAGCTCCGCCAGTGTGGGGGCTTCAGGGTTTATGGAAAGAAGTTTGATTATCCAGTTTTAATGCGTTCGTGTAGGTGCAGCAGGTTCACTGGTGTGTAGTTAGACGAATATGCGAGTAAATTCCAATAACTTGTCTTCTTTTTACTGTAATTCTTTGGATGTTCTTGTGTTTAATAATTATCATCAGGTTTCTCTGTGATTTCTCAGTTATAGCCACTACATAGTCATGCCATAATATCAAGCATGTGTTTCTGTAGTATGTGAGGGATATTTGGAGAAAATGCAGGTGGTCTTTCTTGTTTTTACCACAAGGTGGCAGCACATCCTCATGTGTAAGCCCTTAGTAAGTCCCCCTTACCCCCCTCTCACTTATATACCTAATAATTCCTGTTCAATTATAACATAATATATACAGTTCTTGGTTGTATTTTTAGTTTTTAATTTGGCTTGAGTTATTTGTCTTTATTTAGATTTTCCTTCCTTTATTCTTCCTCCACAGACAGATCATTAGACCCCATAAATACAGTCGGGCCTAGCTGTTTCACAGTGTAACCAGCGCTGAGCAGATTAAATGTGTAATAAATTAAGAAATGTTTATGTTGGTGTGCTGGCTCCCAAATTCCCGTTTATCTTGATAACACTACTGAGACACCCATAGCAGATAACGTACTGTATGTTTGTGTTAGAGCTGATCAGAGCAGCTACCAGCATACAAGTGTTCAGCTTCCACTGTAGCAGCTTAATTGATGACCTTTCCAGTGCACCTGTCTTTAATAAAGCTTTAATTAGAAGTCCCGTTAGGATCTCAGGGGCTGCCGGTTAATGGGTACTCAAATAGGAAAGATTTAGGTCTTTGGTGGAACAATCGAAGATACTTACCAGTAATCGTGAGAGGCAAATGTCGGCGAACGTCATAAAGGGCGAGGTATTATTCGGCTGCTCTGATAAACGGGACGGTCGTCTTACGGGGAAACTTCGGGAAGCGTCGGCTGCTTTATCGTTCCGCGGGGGGAATTTGATTTGAAAACAGCATTCTGTGTCATTATGAGGTACAATGAAGAAATTAAACTCAATTATATCAGACAAAGCGCCGAATGAATAATTAATGCGCTAACAGTGCTGCATGCATAGAGTGGAGGTGTTCGGGGTATGTATAGTTCACATTATGTATGCAAATTAGGCCCCTGCACAGCTCATGAGAGGATGCATGTAAGGAACTGTGAGGCTTTGGCTTTTCCAATCAGACCACATTCTCAGTTAATTCAGATCGCTCCCTTTGAGACATTTGCTCATTTCAGAGTCTTCATGGGTGTGATGGGATACACACAGCATGTGTTTTGAGTTGCTGGGGTACTTTAATTGAACTTGAATATTCATGCATTTTTCTGTGGCACCTGTGTCGCTTTTTTTTTTCTGTCCTACAATCTTCTGCCTGTGAAGGTAAATGTTTCTGTTTGGTCTTCTTTCTATTTCGTATCATGTGAGATGATATTTGATCTGGTTATTTGTACGATTCAGGTCAGGGCCTCCTACGTTCCTCAGACACACGGCTGTCGTACTCTGAGTAGGTCTGTTCAGAAGTTGCTGCTCAATGACATTAGAGAGAGAAAACGTCATTAAGAGAGGGGCTGAAAAAGCACTTGCTTGTGCCACTCCCTTTGTTGTCTCTGTGCACCGGCTGTGACTCCTTGTTGATGACTGATGGTGCTGCACACTCGAGCGCTCTCGATCTCTACACTCTTGCAGTTCCCTCCCAGAAGTGGAGCTACAGGCCAAAGTGGGAATCACTTTCCTGACAGATGCTAAATATTAAAGCTACACTTCCCAATAACATCTTGTCTTGTTCTCTCTTCATCCCCCTCCATCCTCCCCCCTCCTCTTCTGAAAACACTCCCTCACCTTTCTCCTCCCTCCATCTTTGTGTCCCACACATAAGGCTTCCTGAGCACCGGAGATCAGTCTGCTAAGGGGAACTATGGCCTGCTGGACCAGATTCAGGCTCTGCGTTGGCTCAACGAGAACATAGGCCACTTTGGCGGAGACCCGGAGAGGATCACCATCTTCGGCTCTGGAGCTGGGGCCTCCTGTGTCAACCTCCTCATCCTCTCGCACCACTCTGAGGGTAAATGTCATGTTTTATTTTAATGTTTGGTTTTATTCCTCGTACAGCACATATTTTTTAATATCTTTTCACCACCTTTGCTGCTTTTTCTTATTTAAACCAACATTAACTACCAGCTACCAGCTTGGATCCACCCTGTTAAATCAATGATCAAAAACCAACATCAGTTTCACACATTTCTTTTACTCTGGGCTGGATCTGATAAGCTTAAAAATTTGTAGTTTTTTCCCGTCGTTTATTTCTTTTCACAGAGACAAAACTCTAAATGAACCAACATCCGTCGCTATAAATCACACCTTCAGTCTGCTTAGTGGCCAGATGTGTGCAGGCCAGGCGCAACAAAAAATGAAATACAGGATGAAGGTGTTGTGCTCTGGACTAGTGAATAACATGGAGAGTTGTTTATCTGTGCAGTTTTATTCATTTACAGCAAACTGATGCAGTTTGTGTCCTCTGCACATCTGTGGTGCTCTGCTGCGTCACACAATGTGAAGCATGTCAGACTACGGAAAGATGTGTGGTTCAGCTAGAGACCGGGGAGGACCACGGGGAGGACCATGCCTCCTTTAACATACATTTCTCGACTAATATATTTTTGTCCTTTGCGTACATTCTGTCTGAATGACTAAAGTTTCTGTCCTCAGTCAGTCAGTTCAGCTCTCTTTAGTGAGCCATGTTTTATTTAATGTAAAATATGATTGTCACGTATAGAAGCACAGCTGGCAGCTTCCAGCCCAGAAACAGTTAAGTCCTGTGATGTTCACTTGACACCTTTATCCCCAAAGGAAAACACTGCTTGTCCTTTGAACTGAACAATTTAAGCAGTCGTGTAGCTAATGTGCGAGCGGAGGTTTGATCCACGTTATGTTATTCATTTCTTTGGAGGATAAATGGCGTGGGAGCTCCAGCATTACCCTGAATTACCTGCCTTTGGCGTGCGCTCCTCTGTCCGCGCTTCACTGCTCTGCAGCAGGAAGTCTCTCTCTCCACTGAAATCCAACATCTATCTGACCTCGTGCTCCCCATTACCAACAACAAACCCCGAGGGCTAAGTGTTAACACCGCACCGCCAAAAGACAGAGGCCGACAGACCAATCGACTTTGATCGGAACTGAGATCAGCGTGGCCGACGATCCGCAGCCAAACGGTCACGCGCTCGCCGCCTTTGATCATGCTGTTCTTGAAGCTGTCCTCCTCCAGTCGTGGATCCTCTGTTCTCTTGGCTGCTCGAGGACTCTCCCTCAATATGTCTCCCCTCTCTTCATTTTCCATCTCGCACACACAAACTGCAAAGGACAGAAACAGGAAAGAAATGGTGGGTGAGAAGAACAAGAGAGATTAGAGAGTGTGTTCACACAACCACGCATCTGTTTCAATTACTGCTCTGTGCGTGTGTGTGCGTGCGTGTCTGAAGCACCAAGCAGACGTCTGACTTGTCTCTAATTTTGACTCATTCTGTCGGCGTAGATGTGCCTTGAAAACAAATGTGTTGTCAAAGCTTGAATGAGCATCCGTGCGCTGCTGCTGTGTCACTGTATCTGTTTAACACAATGTCTGTAATTACCGCTGATGTCTGTTAACCCTTCACATTAACCCAGACCACCCCCAGACTTTCCTGTTGAGCACCCCAGTCTGATTGCATATACACAAATATAACCTATAAAGCCTGGTAACTTCACTTCTTTAACACTTTGGAGGGAAAAGTTTGTATTTTCTTTGTGTTGCTAAGTCATGGTGTGATTAGCATAAGTTAAAAGAGGTAAATAACTAGCCCGACATCCCGCAAAGTGACTAATATTAAATGGGTTATTGTAACTTACGTGCTTTCATTATTATTATTAGTTTTATTAATGGGAATACTTTATATGAAAATACACATTTTAATTATAAGTCCATATTAGTGTGTGTGAATGTGAGAGTGAATGAATAATGGAATTGTAAAGCGCTTTAGGTGCCTTGAAAAGCGCTATATAAATCCAATCCATTATTATTATTGTTATTAGTTGCTTCTGGTCTCTTTATTAGTTATCATGAAAAGATGTAATAACAGCTTACAATTCATGGCAATATTCCACAGCTCCATGACCATTAGTTCAGTTATCCTTTAAAAACCTTGTCATTACTGCATAACAACAGTAAATAACAGTTAAAGTATGAGTGCTATGACTGATGATTTTAAGTATTGATGTGTAAAGTCTGTTTGCTAGCATACCATTTTTCATGTTTATTTATATAGTTAACTTTTTAAGATTGTGTGTTTCACAGCCCTGTCATGTGTTAGTCAGAGGTATTCTTTGTTCTCATTGGTGGATGCGGAATGTTTACCTCAGTACTCAGTACTTCTGTGACTACAAGTCATTGGTCGTTGGTTGCCATGACACCACTAGTTCCATGTGTACAGCCCTTTAACCCTCTCAGGCTCAAATTAAGTTTTTGTTGCTAATGCACAAAAGAATACCTGCAGTGGTACTTCTGAGTAAAAAAAAACTCATAAAATGTGTGTGGGGTAATCAGGTTGTTAGCTTTTACAACGCCTGCCTTGAGAGGGTTAAAGGGTGGTGGTGCCATCCTGCAAGATTAATAACATGTAGTAAATGTGGGTGACTGACCACAAAACTACAGCTAACTCAGAACATATTCCCTGTTCTAAAGTCAAGTCGTGCCCATGGCTAACAGGTTGCTCAGCAGTTATTAAACAGCAATAAGAAGGTTAGTGAGGAAACTCTCTAAATGGTCTTCTAGTTGCAGAATATGCAGACTTAGACGTTAATAAACATTGTGACTGATGAGGAGCCATTCTGTCGCTAACATGCTAATAAGCAGCTTGTCAGTTGTAGATTTATGTGCTTTAATGTAAAATGTTACCTTTTCTTCACATTTTCTTTCTCTGTGTGAATGAGCTCCAGAGATGTCTCTAATTATAGTGTCTAACTTGCTCTGCTTCTAGCATTAATGCTAATCCATACTGATTACGTTCCAGCTCCAACATGAGCTCAAATAAAAAAAAATCTAAAGCACAACCTTAAAAACCGAGGAATGCCGCTGTTTACCCCTTTTGTCTTGTTGCTGACAACCAGCCTCACCCCGTCCCTCACTGTCACCTGTCTGTCCTCATGCCTGCGCTTTGTCATCACCCCGTCGTCATCTTCCTCTTCATCAGCATCTAATGGCGTTACATCAGTCCACTAGACGCCACCTGTCTGTCATGCCTCCCCCCCCTTCTCCCCTCCACCAGGGTGCCAGGTAAGGAGTCTGTCATCCTCACACTTAATGGACACCAATCATGTCAACAACACAGTGTCACAGATCAGGGCTGACATCAGAGGCTTACAGGACGGATAGCAGGACGTAGGGAGGGGGTTGTTAGTGATACTGATATGAAGGTTAGAGGGAGGCAGAGGACAGTAATCAGTATCCATCCACAGTTAAGAGAAGTGAGACAAGGACAGGATGAGAAACAGGAGACTATGCTGAAGAGGAGAAAGAGGGAATAAAATGCTTTGAAATGGAAAATACGAAAAAAGCAGCAGCCAAGTAGAGCAAGGTTTCAAGCAGCGAAGGCAAGAGGCACTAAAGGAGCGACAAAGAAACTGATTTTGAAGACGAATAAAATATAGCCTCTCTGTCTGTCTCTCCTCCCCTCCTCGGCCTCTCTCGGTGCAGATATGTAGGTATAGCTGTTTCCAAGCTACTTCTTACTATAATTGATTTCCCAGGGAAAGAAGGCTCTGCAGCTCTGCTTAATAATTAACTGACCAATCTTCAGCCCAGGAGAAGGGAAAGAAAGAAAAAAGGGAGCCCGGGAGGAAACGAGAGAGAGCCAGGCGGCCCCCTTAATGAGCCACTTGAGTGGTTTAAACAGCACAGGACAGCCAGAACTAAAGGAGAGAGAGAGAGAAAGAGGGAGACAGAGAGGGGAAAATACATCCAAGAGAAGCTTGGAGGGGGGAAAAGCAGCTCAAGAAAGGAAAAAATAGATCTTTTGACATCTCAGATGAGCTTTTTCCCAGTCCTGCCTCCACTTTTTGGAGCTAAAGCTCCATAACATGCTCCGTCAGTGATGCTCTGGGTCTGTAGTCCCATCCTCTGTCTACCAGCTTTTCTCTAGTAAGAAACGTGATGACGAAAAATTGTTAAACTGTATTTTTAATCAAGTTCTCTAGCAGAAAGAAAGTTATGTGATTTATACATCAGGCATCCTCCCTCTGCCCTGAACCTCACCAAAATGTCTTTCTTTCCCACGTCTTCTTTCAGGTCTGTTCCACAGGGCCATAGCGCAGAGTGGCACAGCCATCTCCAGCTGGTCCGTTAACTACCAACCCCTCAAGTACACCAAGATCCTGGCCCGGAAGGTGGGTTGCACCTACGCAGAGACGGCTGACCTGGTTGACTGCCTGAGGCGCAAGAACTTCAGAGAGCTGGTGGACCAAGACATCCAGCCGGCCCGCTATCACATCGCCTTTGGGCCTGTTGTGGACGGAGACGTAGTTCCTGATGATCCAGAGATTCTCATGCAGCAGGTGAGGGTCTGATAACAGCAGCCGCACATCTCTGTTGTGTTTTATTATCCAAGCAAAGTGGTGAGAACTCCTGGGATCAGCCGTGACGTGAAACCAAAACAACTGCAGAGAAAATAACTGCAGTGTTGGTGATGTACATGATCAGGGTGTTATACTTTAGACACACTGAGAAGTTTCTCTTGTGTTGTCACGAGTGTTCGCCAGAAGCCCAAAAAGCAAACAAATAAGACTTTATTAAAGAAAAGTATAAACACAAGTACACGCAAAGATGAGACACAACTATAGAGACAAAGAGTGATCTGACTGGGACAAGTAAAACTAATTGGGAGAGCAGTTTTCTTCCAACAATCGCTACCAAAATAAAACAGGAAGCAACAAGAGACAGTAGCAAATAAGCTAAATGTAGTCAGACCTGGAAAATGTTAAGCTGGAACAGAACCTTAAAGCAGCAAGATGTGATCCTGTAATTCAAAGCTGACAGAGAGTCGTCGAGGTTTCCAAAGAGCAGGTTTCTCTTCTCAGTTTGATTCGAATATTTTCATGTGACAAGAATAAAAAAATTCTTCTTCTTCTTTATTCATCCATCCAGATGGTATTTTGGACCATCTTCTAAGTGAAAAACTGCAAAAGTTGATTTGTGTGTATTATTAGTGTAAGTAACCACTGCTGGTTGACCAGGATTTTTAATTACAAAAAAGATTCTTAAAAAGTTGTATTATTTGATTAAATAAATGCTACATTCTGAAGAGATTGCAGATGCAGTCAGTGTCATTAATGTGAAAGTCATTTTGGAGACGGGGGAAGTGTTTTATGTAAGGTGAAAAAAATCAAACAGGTGTGCAGAAAGCAGTAACGTGAAAATCACTACAGTGACATATTGTGTGTGAGAGGAAGAAGTGTGAGTTTTGCAGCTCTATGCATTAATCGACACTGCAGACTTTTAAAAGATCGGCCCTGAAGCCGTGACCTGCAGAACACGCAATATGATGAAGATCATGGCCTTAAGAGTCAGTCTTGGAATCCTTGAAAATGCTTGAAGTTTAATATTGTCTTTTCAAGGTTTGAAAAGTGCTTGAAAGTGTTGTAACTAAAAGTTACTGTGACTCAAACATAGAAAAATTTGATTTTTTTATTTCCCACACCTAATTAATTAGAGATTATTTTATTGAAGTCTTTAATAGCATATAACACCCAAAATATGCTTCGGTTCACATTTAACTCCAGAGAATCATCAATCAAAACATGGATATTACCTGACCACAGATTCGTGGTGACGTCACTGCTCTTTTAACTGTTTGGTGTCTTTGCTTTGTTTGCTGGTTGTAGAAATGGTTTATTTGAGCTTTGAGCTGAGATTCAGAG